CTTTTCCGAAAAAAGGGAAGAAAGGAGAGCAGGAGTTCTCTGGAGAAAAAAACGACCCATCCCTAGATTATCTCCATATTTGACCATGGTGGAAAAAGTTGACTAAATTTTTTGACTAGCTTTGCATTATAAGGGATATATAAAATCTTATCACCTTTTACCCCCTTGGTGAAGAGCTTTTGATTTTTTGGAATCACTATTAATGCTAAACATTGGAAATTGGTAAGGTAGAAAATGAATATGAACGTAAGAGCAGTTAGTTATACAGTACTACCAACATTGAAGCTCTGGGGCCCAAGGTTGTGAATGTACTTTCGAAGTATAAGTACTGCTAGCGGCTAGGGGAAGGTTCATTTGAGAATCTCAAATATTTTGAGAACCATGAGAACAAACTATTCATGAATTAATCATAATGGTCAAATAAATATTGTGATAGTTATTCATGATGAGTGAGTATCATGAATAGTGCAAAAGCAACATATCCATGTATATATGTATTTATTTATCGTGAATAATTCATAAATAGTTGGTTCTTACGGTTTTCAAGATATATACGGTTTCTAAACGAACTTTCTCCCAATTGGCTATATGTCTATGTGGTACTTTTCCTTGCTAAGGGTCTGTTTGTTAGAAGCTCAATGAGACTCGGACCTTATTTGGTGAGCTATACATGGCTGTTTGGTAATGGCTTAATGATATAGAAAGTCGCTCATTCCAATAAGTTTCTAAAGGGGAGCTTTATGTAGGAAGGAAGTTTTTTCCAAACATGCCGCATTAAATTAAAAAACATGCTCCTTCCATCTATGAACAATCCCTCCTAAAAGAACTTTCTCAATCTATGCAGACAGATTAATCCACACAAATAGTTTTATCCATACAGGACGTAATGGAAAACCAACCAAACAACCCCTAATGTCATAAGACCAACCTGAATTCTATCGAACTCCTCAGAAATAGAGAGACCTAGATTTCAGTTTCCTAAAGGGTGCAATTACTTAAACCTTCTTATCGTATCTGCATTATGACAAGTTGCTTTCTATTTAAAGTAAGTTTTAAACACTCAACAAGTGTTGATCTCTTTATTGTTATCGTATTTGCCTGATTTCATATTTCCGACATAATGTTGATTAGTGCCAAGTTGGATAAGAATGAAAGATTGGCGGACTTTGTTAAAAAGCTAGAGAGTGCATGCGTTGAGACAGTCGAATCAGGAAAGATGACCAAGGATCTTGCTATTTTAATCCATGGACCCAAGTGAGTGCTACTTCCGTTATCTTATTAAATTTMCTATTGCCCTTAAATATATAAGATTGTTTGTTTTTAGGGCAAATTGCATGAAAATGCAATGCATTATGGACCGGTTCCTATTTTGTGTAACATACTTCCAACCCTTTATTTTGGTAGCTCAGATGTAATATCTCATACATTTAGAACAAAATACGTTACACAAAACAAGCATTAGACCGAAGTAAGTTGTGTTTTCATCCTTTTTGGATGTAAACTAGGTACCTAAATATTTGAGATGTTACATCTGAAGTACCAGAAGGAAGATTTTGCAAGTAAGTTGCACAAAATAGGAATCATATTCAGAACGAAGTAGGTTGCATTTTCATGCAATCTTCCCTTGTTTTTAATAGTAATCGTGCATCATACATGAATTTGGATACATAGTGCTTTACCTTCCTTGTTGCTAATCAGCTGAAATGATTTTCTACCATTTTCATTATGATCTATTTCATGAATCAAAACGTTTAGCAGGATTTGAACCCAATTTGATTTTATCATCCCCTTGTCTTTATCCACCATGCTACCCCCTTTGGTTCAGATGGTGATTTTGATAACTAGAGCTAATCCAGTCATTATTTTAAAGCCTCAACATTAATCAGTTGACCAATATGATTTTCTACTTTGACCTTCCGAGATCTTTTTATCAATGGCAGCTTTTGTTTGTATTCGTATACCTACTTCCGTTTGTATGCCTATTTGATTTTTCGTTGCTTACTTCTAACTTGTTTTTCTAAATATTAGCACCGTCTTTCTTGTTTTCAAGTTCTTTTTCAAAATTTCTAATTTTCTTGTTTTTCCTTTCTCACCCCACACTATGCACAAACCGGGGGTCTTCACGGAAACAACCGCTCTACTCTTTAGGCGGAGGTCGGGGCGCACCTACATACGGTGGCACGGGACACCGATTCATTCTTTCCTTGTAGTTTAGAACTTTTTAGGGTCCTGAAAGGTGCAACCGTATTGTCTTGTTGATGCCACCATATATATCTTGAAACTACAATAATAACACAAGTTTTCTCTTGGCAGAGTTGGTTTGCATAATTCATTAGCTTTTCATTTCAAGTTCATTATGTTTCTAATTTTCTTGGGATAAAATACTCAAACACAAGACCTCCGAAAAAACAAGGAGCTAACCAATAGGCCAATGATGATTTTATGGAAAATATACATAGCTTCGTTTCTTTTACTCAAATAGTGTAACCTCTTGAATAACTTCCTCGGTCCACCTCTACACCTCCCCCGGGCGGACCCCGCTTTCAGGTGGTATATGTTGAGCTTGTTTTGTTTTGTTTTGTTTTGTCTAGTAGCAGTTATTGAGATATGTGATTACGTACAGGGCATCAAGGGAGTTCTACTTGAACACCGAAGAGTTCATTGATGCCGTTGCTCAGAATCTCGACTCGAAGCTTCAAACTCTTGCAATTCATTAAAGTAAGATCGGTTCACAAGAGCCATTGGCTATGACCAACTTCCGTGAAAACGAACAGTAGAAGCCAATATCAAACATGTTCTACGGGTCTATTTGTTCTGACCAAAATAATTCTTTTTGCAGAGGACCGGGCTTTTTTATGGAGTTGGTTGGTCACTCAATTCCAACGTAACGCCTCGGGAATTATTTAACGTGCTTGCGTTAAATCTGTAACAAATTGTTGAATCCTTAGAGTCGCATAAACATTTGTTACTATAACGAAAGGCATTTATTTTGTCACTGACGGATGACCGGCGAAGGTGGCTTCAGATTTCTAAAATCGTATAGCACCTGAAGCAACATCAAGTGAAGGTATTTTACTTAAATGTTAGAATTTTGGAAACAAAATATCAATATACTTGGATAATTCAAGGATCGTGTATTGAACACTTTCCAAAATCTGTGATTTCGACCCTATAGCCTGGGGTATCACGAAATTTGATTTGGATTTCAGGCAAAAATACAAGATCAAACACATAATTTCATTGTTTGTTTATGTATCTTGAGAGAGAAAATTTTGGCAGAGTAACAGTATGCAAAAGATCGTCACCCTGCAATGAGTCGAAATCGTATATATAGTCACCGGTGGTTAAGTCGGTTATTTCGGCGGGATTTGTGTATGTTCCCAACAGACGCGACTGTTTGAGAGTCGGGACCGCCGCCAGGGGTGATGCCCCTTGGAACCCCTCTAGGGGCGCTGTCCCCGGACCCCCGTGTACCCGAGATCACTTTACCTTATCTGAGCATGCACTTTGCATCTTTGGACTCGAATTATAGCCAAGTCTAATTTCAGCTTGTCTCATATTCATCTCGATCATACTAAATGGCTTGATGATATTAAAATCACCAATATTAAATCTGTGAATTTCTTTCAGATTTTAACATGAAAAAGTTAAGAAAAATTATTGAATTTTATATCGAAGTTTTTGTTTTCTTAAAACTCATATACGAATCTTATTTTAAGTTTAATTTAACGTATGATATGAATCTTATTAAAAGTTCTAGTTATGAATATTATTTGAATCGATTTTAAGATAGTTAAAGGTAACGAAAATAAAGGCAATGAAACGTAAATGAACGTAATGGAACCTAATTGATTAAACTTAAGTGGATGTTTGTTTACCGCTTAATAGTTTTATTAAAAGGCAGTCTTTGAATTATTAAAAAGTGGATCTTGTTTTGCAAAAAAAGTCTGTCTCTTAATGATTCTAAAACTATCTGAATGATTTTGTATCTTGGACTTTTCTTAATCATTCAGTGCCCTACTTTTATTATAAACAATTACCAAACAATTATATTTTATTTTACATTATATCATGAAAATCTTTTAATCATTTTGTTCACTTAATCATTTTACATTAAATTATTTAACAACTATTAGACAGGCCATGTGCAATTAGATGCTCCAAGTCCAACCCCTCCGCCCACTATCATCAATCAAGTACTTTGTATTTTCTTTTTCTTTTTCTTTTCTTTTTATTAATTATTATCTCCTCCTTCATTCATTCATTTTACAAGAAAATTAAGGTCATGTTTGATAACCATAAACTAGCTTTTTTTTAAGCTCATTGGAGAAGTCCCGTTTGGTAAGCCATAAACATATATATAAAAGAATTGGTCCAAAAGTTTAGCCGATGTGAGATTTTAACACACCCCCTCCAACGAATGCTAGACGATCACAAATTGTCTCAAACTGTCGACATGGGGCTAAGCAAGTACAAATTGCCTCAAGGTATGGAGTTCCTAGAAAGGCAGACCTTGGCTCCGGTACATGTGAATTCTCATTAGATTACTCGCCAAATGAGGTAAGAGAGGTTCCAACATATCTATAGAGAGGAACCGGTTTGAATCCAGCCAATGTTAGACTCTACTAATTTGTTCCAAAATAAATGTTCACTTTCAAAAACAAGTTTTTACTTTTCAGTTCGACATCTAATTGTGAGATGGACAAAATCATCGTCCCTCTATTATTAAGGGTAAAATCGTCATTTGTTAATTATCGACATGTATTTTAGGAAATCGGGTGTCCACGTACACAACTATTACCATTAGGTGGTTGTTGACCTTTGTGCAATAACGAAGGGGGGCCTGGCTTGTTTGTAATCAGACGTTTGCCTTCCACATTTCTGAAGACTTTTGATCAAAAGGTTTTAAAGTCGTCACCACTTAACTATTTCAAATAATATATTTAACTAGAACTTAATTCATGTAAAATCAATCTGTTTTTACGAGATCCGTGAGATTATTTTTTTATGATTGAAATTTCCCAACAAAATATTGTAAACGTAAAAAATGCCGAACCTTAACAGTAAAAATACTGTGAAAGTTACTTTCATAGTGTTTTACTGTAAAATTTTAAATATAAAAAAATGGTTTCAACGAGTGTATGATTAACTGTAAAATCTTCAAAATTAACTTTTGAAATCAAAATTGAATGACTTCCTTTTTGGATCATTTACTGGGCGTTATTTTAACCGTCCAAACGCCTATTTAAGTTTCACATTCTCCGACTAGTTTGGGCTTCAATTCAATTCCCTGAAGCAGACGTTAAAAGGTTCACGAAAGATTCCCCAAAGCATCAATGGCTGAAGCAAAGGCTAAGGAGCTCGTTTCATCCAACCCTGTCGTCGTATTCAGGTTTTATTCACACCATTTCTTCATCCTACTCCTGAATTTTCCTATTTTTCTGGTGAATCGGAAAGCGATTCGGTTATGTTCCTCAGATTTGTGTCTAGTGTGTAGGTGTAGGGTTTTTATGGATATTGAGGGCTGATTTTTTGTTTAATTGGATCTGTTTTATGAATATGACGTTTATGTTTCTGGATTTGATTTCGCAGCAAATCGTATTGTCCTTTCTGTGTGGACGTGAAGAAGTTGTTGACTGAGCTTGGATGTTCGTTCAAAGCTATTGAGCTTGACAAAGAAAGTGAGTTCCTCTCTCTCTCTCTCTCTCTCTCTATACATATATATATATATATATATATCGCTCGTCTTCTGTTGCGCCATTATGTGTGTATGTATGCTGAATTTGCTGGTATATGAGTTTCACTGTAACATTTCAGGCGATTTTATTAAGACTTGGCTGATTCTCTCATTAATGACGGAACTATGATTTTGATTTGAATTTTGAAATATGATGATTTCTTCTCATGTTAAGAAAATAGATTCACTGTACTTTTGGATGTCAAACAGGTTATCGTTCGGCCTTAAAGTGGATATGGATTTTAAAGTTTTCATGAAAGAATTATGTCCCTTAAATTGAACTTCACAACAAAAACGATGCAAAGTTTGCTACAAAATCAGTATCGTTTTTCAGTTTTATGCATTTAAGGAATCTAGTTATCCAGAAAGATTGGTTTTGTCAGTCTCTTGTTTGCTACCTTTGCAACCTATTGTTGAAACTTGAAACCAACAACATCGTTATCTTATTTCAGAACTCGATTAGAGTAGGGATTTTAAATTCGGTCTTACCCTCTGCTATGCTTGCAATTGCCTTGCTTTCTCCTGGGGATAACAGAAACTCGAAAGAAGAGATTAAACATATCTCTGATTGGAGACGTGTAGATCGGAATGAATTCGCAATGACATGTGAGCTTCATTCCTTGATACTTTGAGTAACTTCCACAAAATCATGAATACCAAGATAATGGTGGTTATCACTTTGAGTGGGGATTTGGAACCGAAACAGACCGATTCCATCTTTTGAGGCAGTGGCCTCTGCTTTTGTAACAGAGCACGACCTCTGCACATTGAACCTCGGAACAAAAATTCTACCTGAATATCAATAAATTTACTCTTGGTATTTTGTTTGTAGAAGAAGAATAAATCCATGGTTGATTTAGACATTTCCGAGAACCCAACTTCTGATAAGAGTTCTTGGAGACGTAAGACTGGGGTAGCAGACTAGGGATGGATACTTGTAGCTAGCAGCCTAGCATAGACCAGAGGAAGGTAGCTGAAGAGGTAGAGGGTGGATGTAGGGTTAGGGTTAGGTTACCAGGGTTCTAAGATAAACCAGGTGTTCCTAGGCTATTTTTTTAATGTACCTACTTCTTTAATATGATGTTGCTCACTTCTAACTAGCCTTGGTTCTCTTCTTTTCTCAAAATTTCGTATATCTTACTATCTTGTCTCAAGTTCTTCATTTTCGAAGTCTTCTCTTTTCTTCAAATTATTCAAATGTTTCGGGTAAACCTTTTTTTTGACACACTCTTTGCAAACCATGGGTGTTTACAAAAACAACCGCTCTACTCTGTACTCACCCCCAGACCCCACCTCTGAGTGGGAGGGAGGTTGGTTTTCTGTGGTTTACTTGCCTTGATTATGCTTTTATCTATTTCACTTGATAGGTGTCTTATTTGTATGGTCATTCAACTATTTGTACATAAAATATTGTATATATCATGATATAGCTTGAAAACTGCTTAGTTCACCAGCAAAATGACTAAAAGTTTGTATGTATCTATGTCTGAAGGTGATGGAAGCGAGGTACAATCGGCATTGTATGAATGGACTAAACAACGAACTGTGCCAAATGTGTTTATTGGCGGCAAACACATCGGTGGCTGTGACAGTAAGGGATTTATCCTTCACGCTTTTCTTGTTTTACCCTTTGTTTTCCTCTGACTAAACAGCATGGGTAGATCTGTTAAGTGGTGGCACATGCTACCATTAATATATTCCGTTCGTGGTGTAAAAAAATGTACACCCCTTAATGGTGCTACCACTATAATTCGTTTTGTTTTAACAAATGGGCATTGTCCCCAGAAAACTAAGAGGCTATTTCAGCATATTGAAACTCAAAGTTGAGTTTTTAATGATTAATAGTAATGGAAGATAAAATCCCTTCTTGTAAATCACTGATATTTTGACGGAAATTTTTTGGGGGATTTAGATTTCATGGAAGGATTTGGAATCTTTGGTTTGATTGTTTTGTAGGATACGGAATGGAGTTGAATTTCATTCCTTATAGATAATTTATCAAAAAACTTATAGATGATTAAATTGCCTTTTATTAATTGATTAATACAAAACGATCCTGTAGGTACCATTGGCTTGCACCAAGGAGGGAAGCTCGTTCCCCTGCTGACTGAAGCTGGAGCAATTGCAACCAAATCTTCTGCCTAAAGAACTATGTTCATGGTATCTTTACTAGCAGTATAATAAATTAAATTTCTGAACTTATGTTTATGTGTATTTGTTCCTCAACTTTATCGTGTTTGTAAAACTGATGGCATTTGTTGCATTTCAATGGGTTAGGTTAGACATTATCACAACGATTTCGGATGGTTTCGATAGGTTAGGATTAGATAATCACACATTTATCATAACGAAAACGATTTTGTGTGATATGGGCGTGATAATCATGTGATATCAATATCACTCGACTTGATCATGGTTTCAATGGGTTAGGTTAGACATTATCACAACGATTTCGGATGGTTTCGATAG